AGGGATCAGTTTACACTGAACACAATCCAGGACTTTCTAGAGCAGATGGGGCTGGCAGCAGAGCGACCTAGCTGAGGACCTAGCTGTCCAGGAGCCTGGAGTACTTGCTTTGATTACAAACTAAGGTAGGTCTTAGCCAGGCTTCCACAGGCTTCCAGAGAGGCAGGCCTATCCAGCTGAACCGCTCCAGAATGCCCACCTGTGTGCTGTCCCCTGGGTGGATGTATCTGCAGACTCCAAGCTCAGCCAGTGTGAGGCACAACTAGACACACACACACCCTGCCCACCCCAGCCTGTCACTGTACCCTAGCCCTTCAGTACTCAAGGATCTGGGGTCCAGGGCAGTAGAGGGCTAACCAGGAGCAAGGACTCAGGCAGTGGAGGCTGCCCTACCCTCTACGGACCATTCTCCCAACACCACCCCAGCACTACTCAGCAGCCTATAGCACCTCAGGGATGGCCACACTGAAGAGCCCCTGCAAGTCTCTCAGTATTCTCGCTCCAGCCAAGCTCAGGGTGGCCCTGTGGAGTAGCCCTGGCTGGCCACACCAGGCTGCCCCCTGGAGCACCTCCAGTAAATGACTTGTGCACTTGGCCTGTGCTGATGGGCTGGATGGCCCTGACTGAAAGGTCAGGAGGCATTTTAAAACTGGACAGGACGATTTCCTTACACCTCCAGAGGCTCAGCTGGCCCCACAGCCTTACTGTCCCCTGGCTGCATCCCACCCCTCCACTCCCAGTCCCAAGCCCCTCAGCTAACCCAACACCAGGACCTCCAACACCTGTCTATTATGTCCCCAGCTGTTTTCTCCCCCAGTGATTCAGGAAGCTCTCTCTTCTCTCACTCCTGCCTGTTACCTCAGCCAGTCCTAGCTCAGTCTCCACCCTGAGGTCTTGTGTACTCACCCAGCCACTGCCTGGCCATTTCAGGCCCCTGTGCCCTAGCATCCAGCTCCCCTGTGCCTAGCAGTCTCTTCTCAGGGAGGATTTCCACACTGCCTCTCAGCCTTGAGCATACTTCCACACCCAACAGTGGGGGCAGGATGGGGGATGCAGCACTGAGATGTCATCCATCCCTGTAAGCGATATGCTGGTGGTGCCTGCAGTGTCCAGGCACCTGCTTGCCCCTCCCACCTGGGAGGTCAGCCTATCTGTGGCCTCCAGGGGCACTGCCATTATGTGCTGGCTCCCAGCTATCCAAGTGGGGCCCCACCTTCTCAGATCCAGGAGACGAGCACCCTAACCTAAGCGGGTGTCCTCTGGAGCCTGAGCTGTGCCTCACAGGTATGGAGCCCAAGGGCCAACACTGGCTCATAGCACTAGGCAGCTGCAGGGCAGGGCTACTCTCAGCTTCACAGTCATGCTCTTCATCTGAGGGAATACGGGCTGCACAGTGCCAGCTGCTGGGGGCTTAGCTGGAAATTCATACTTTTTGAGTTATCTCTTCTTACATAAGTGATAAATACACACTCATACACACAAACCCACACACATATCCCTATATCACTATAATTTTTTGTTTTCTGAGACAAAATGGCACTTTCATATGGTTCAACCTAATACACCATGATACAGCAAAAGAGCCATCCCTATGTCCTCCAGTCTCCTACCCACTGCATCTAAGCCAGTATACCTGGCCATAGACAGTGTAGACATGGAAAGCTCCCAGCAGGGCAGGCAAGGGGCCTAGGAGAGTCAGCAAAGGGAAGGGTGGGGGCCCATTCCTCACTGAACTCAGGATGTCAGAGGTGCTGGGGCTTGGAGTGGAGCGAGCATGCAGACAGTGTGCATGGGGCATGTAGGTACAGCAAGTGGGGAGGTCTGTGGCTGCTGAGCCCCAAGAATGGGTACTACATGAAGGATGGGTGGATACATGGAGGTGTGAGGATGAGGTACAGAAGGGAAGGATAAACACATGGAGAAATGAAGGGAAAGGGAAGAAAATAGAGAGGGAGATATTTGTGGGGACATTTGGAGGATGCAAGGGCTGTGGAGAAAGAAGGCAAGAGGATGGAGAAGTTCATGGAGTGGGGGACTCTGGAGGCTATGTGGATGGGAGGGGCCGTGATGACATTTGTGGGCAGGGTTTGGGAGAATATGAGAGGGTGTGGAATTTGTGGGTGAGTGAAGGAGAGGATAGAGAAAGTAAGTAGATGTGGGGTGGAGAGGATGAGACTAGGAATTGGGAGAAGCACAGGATAATGGAGTGGTTGTAGGAGATACAGACACAGGGTAGCGGATGAACAGGGGAGAAAAGAAGGGGAACCCCAAGGGGTTACACCTGTTTGTGAGGTGGCCACCTGGTCCACAGGGACAGAGAACACTCCTGCACACAATCAGACCTGGAAATGGCTTGTAGATGGGCCAGGAGGTGAGTGAACAGGGGACTGACTGTGACTAAGGGTGATTAGTCCCAGCCCCAGGTAGACAGTGTCTTCAAGGCACACCCTTAATTAATCCAACCATTAACATGGAAATATTTTTATTCTGTCTCTGTGGCTGTGAGCCCCTAGGCCCTGAGCACCTTCCTCTGCATCCAGTGGTGGTGTGGAGAGTTCACTCAGATGGAAGATCTCATGGTGGAGGGCACCTACAGCCCCAGAACTGCCCAGACCAGACCCTTGGATGGAGCCCAAGGGTAGCACTTATGAGTCCCTCTGGCTGCCCTGATGGTTGTTATTTGTTGTTACATCGAGTCAACTACTGTTCATAGAGACCTTATAAACAACAGCTCTGACCTTGCCCTATCCTGAGCCAACCTCACCGTTCTCATTGCCACAGTCAATGATCTCATCCAGGGTCTTCTCTTGACAGTTCTTGGAGAAGGATACCGTGCTTCTCCAAGGAACATGGAGAAGGGTAGAAGACTGCCCTGATAAAGGGGGCCAGAAGTTGAAGCCAAAGTCACTGCTGTGCAGTTGGAACCAACTCATAGCTGATCCTTTGAGGTTTCTGAGGTTATAAAGTACACGGGAGGAGACTGCTCATCACTCTCCTTCAAAGCTTCTAGTGGACTAGGACCACAGAGAGATGGAACTTTGGCGTAGCAGTGCTAACTCCCTACAGATTACGCCCCCAGAGCACCCAAAGGACACCAGGAGGGTACTTATTTGCTTCTGGCTACAGATGGACCCTCTGGGAGCATGGCCTGAAAAGGAGAGGCTAAGAGACTGAGTCAAGCAGTTTGGGAATGACTAGCATAAGGGGCTAGCCCCTGAAAAGAAGCTGAGGTGCTCCATACACACAACCAAGAGCTAGCACAGGATGTCTGCACAGCTCAGCCTGATCCCAGGCAGCTGACCTACCTAATGGGAGCCAAGACCATGCAGCAGAGCAGGGAAGCCACTCCACCATAAGCCCATTTGCAGTAAAGCCCCTGGAGCAGAACAGCAGGCTGGGAATGGCTACTTACACGGGGTGAGCAGGGGGCCTAGGAGAATAGGAGACAGGCAGGGCAGGGACCCCTTGGCTTTCAGGGGCCCCGAGTCCCTCCTTATGGAATTCAGGATGGCAGAGATCCTTGGGACTGGGATGGAAGACACAGAAGGTGAGCATGAGCTGGAGGAAACATTCAGGGGGAGGAGTCAAGAGGTGGAAAAGTCAGGGTGAGCAGGAGGCAGAGGGAACACACTCAGGGGAGGAGCAGCGGACTAGGTGCTGCAGATGAACATGCCCTACCTTCACTGCCACAGTCCTGGGCCCAGAACCTGGGGAACCACACTGTAAAAGCCCTTTCTCTCTCAGGTGCTCAGCACCACCAGGCAGTGTGCAAGGTGCAAAGCAGGAATGCAGGAGTGGCTATGGGCTGTGGGAAGGGACAGCAGAGAAGAGTACAATCTTTACTTGCCAAAACAGACAGGCCCTGGCTGCTTGTGGCCACAGCCCATCAGGGTCACATCAGGTCAGCTTGGAAGGTTAAGCAAAGCACCCAGCCAGCCTCACCCTCCCCATGTCCTCCCATTGGCCTGAGAGGTCCAGGTGGAGAAACTGAGCGCCTCTTCTCTGCCTATAGGAAGAGGCACTGGGATCATAGATAAATCTGTTTGTTCTGGCCCAGCCTCAAACCACAGGCAGTCTCAAGCCTGTTGCACTGCTGCCTGCGCCTTAGGACTAGAGGCCTCACTGCCCTTCTGGCTCAAAGGGCCCTCTCGGGAAGCTGTCTACTTGCTTTGGCCCTGCCAGGGCATGAGATGGAAGACTAAAAGGTGAACATGGGCCAGGGCTGGTATGCTTCCCCAGATCAGACCCCATGCCGTGGCCATGAGGAGCAAGGGAAACACTTCAGTGATAACGTGGGGATCTGGGCAAACATACAGAGGCCAGTTTTTCCTGGATGTTTTGAGGGGCACTTGCCTGGCTCAGTGCTAGGGACACAGGTTAGGAGCTGGGGTGCAATATACATTAGACTGTGAAGCCACAATTCTCTCACAACTGGCTGGGCCGTTGAGGACGGAAGGCTCCACTGGCCTATCAAACACAGTAGAGAATGTCCTTCTGCCCCCTGAATCTCTCTCTCCCCAAAATACTGCCCGTCCATTGGTTAACTTGGTTACAGCAGAGCTAAAAGCCTAAAATGCTTTAAGAGAAGAAGATAAGCTTAGAGCAAATGAGAACCATATGCACCAAAGTCTCACAAAGGTCAGAGAGCTGCCCAGAGCCAACTTGGCCTCCTTCAGCCACCTGACCTAAGCTCCCCTGGCTACCTGGCCTGGAACCCCCAGCCACCCTGCCCTGACCTCCCCTGGCTGTTGGCCCCAACTTCCACCGGCCATCTGCCCTGGCCTCCCCTGGTCATTTGTCCTGGCCTCCCATGGCTGTGGTGGAAAGTCAGACAAGCCTGGTTCCCCGATGGTGAGCTGATGCAATCTTTTCCTTAGCAGATGCCCCGTCCTGCTGGGTGCACCTGGGGCAGAGTCCCTTCCCAGGGACACCCATATGCATACCCCCTTGGAAGCCTGGCCCTCACCACTTCACAAGGTGGTAGAAGACGGGGAGAGTACCTTTTGTGTCTTCATCCTCTATGGTGGTGTTGGTGCTGTCCGTGGACTCCTGAGGAAACACAGGGGAGCAGTGAGAGCCACAGAACTCAGCTAGAGACAACACGCAGGGCTTGTGGGAAGCAGGGCAACCCCAGCAGGATGGCCAGAGCTCCTGGGTGAGTCTCTGCCCAGTCCAGGCCACAGAGCTGAGTGACAAGGACCACGGGCCACCCAGGGGCTGTGGAGACCTTCTCATGTCTGACTCAAGCTCTGGACACTGCATCCAACCACAAAGGGGAAGAAGTGGTAGCTTCTGGCCACTGGTCACTTGGAAAGTTCTTACAGCATCTGGGGTGTGTGTGTGAGCCAACAGCCCTGCCCCTGGACACTAAGCCAGTGGCCACCCACAAGTGGACCTTACCCCAACTGCAGACCCCACTTCATCCACACGCCCTACAGGCAAGGAGGAGAGACTCTAACAAGACAGGATTTCTCAAGACCTCAAACAAGAAACAGAAAAGATGCCCCAGGACACTGGACCAGCTGGATAAGAGGGTGCTCAGGGCCAAGAAGCTGGTCTTAGGACCTTCTCTGGGGGACAGAGAGTGGCTGCACCTAGATGTTGTCTCTCTAGTTGCGGGTTGCCAGACTAGATGATTCTGTTGACCCTGAGAGCATCCTAGGACCTGCTCTGATGGTTTACTGACTTCAGATGAGAATTCAGGTTTATCCACTTGCCCCCAAGTGTCTGGGGAGATCCACTCCCCTCCTGAGAACCAACATCCTTTCCAAGAGTACCTAAAGGTACCCCAGCCCCCTCCCACCCAAACGGACATACAGCTGGCCCCAGTCACAAGTGTGTGTGCTGGGGTTTCTGTATAACCCGTCGAGGCTGCCTGATGGCTCTTCCACAAGAGAAACCTCCACCTCAAACACACATTGGTTCTGGGATTGGGCAGGCCCTGTGCTGTTACCTCTCTCACACCCCTGACAGTCTTCCTGGCAGCCTTAGAAGAAGGGGGACTGGCCCAGTTAAATGTTTTCTGACTGAAAATGTAGGGGTGTACCCGGGAGGTGCCCTGGCCTGGCATGCTGGAGGGTAGGCCTGGGCACAGGAGGAGCGGCCTGTATGGCTCCACCTTACTACCTTCTTTTCCCTCCCCCAGGGAGGATGATGATGTGATGAGCTGATGAGTAGAGCATGTGCTAGAGAAGAGAAGAGGCTGTTTGAGGACACCAGGTGGGAGAGTGGGGCAGGGATAGCCTTGTGAGCATGGCCAGTGGTCCAACCAGCTCTTCCTGGCATTCTCTCAATAGCACTGAGCATGGGAGGCTCTCCAGGCTGAGCCCCTCTTCTAGTAAACCTGGCCAACATAGCAGTGGCCAGAGAGGCAGGATAAGGGAGGCACAGAGAGCAGAACCCAGTCTTGCACTTATGGGGACCCCATGCTAATGAGCAGCAGCTGGAACTGTGGACGTCATTACATTGTGGTTGGGCACTTGGCACTAAGGCACCCAGGCTCCCTGTGGGCAGCAGCCACCTGGTCTCAGCTCTGAGCCTAATGCATGATCCTGCAGCCATTCCTGATCAGAGGCTGCCTGTTCACATGCCTCTCCACAGCTCCTGGACTTTGCTTAGCACCCAGCCCTTGCCTGCATCCGGGGCATGCTTAGGGCTTGAGGGATGGGAGGCCAGTGCCAGGCAGGCTGAGGTGTGCCTCCTCCCAGGCCAGAGCTCACAGGGCACAAGTAAAGAGGTGGCAGTACCTTAATCCCGTCCACAGGGTTATGGATAACGGTGGTTTGAGGCTCCTACAGGAGAAGGAAGACACAGAGGAGGAAAGAGGGAGAGTGAGAAGAGTAGGAGAGCCAGGCATGGAGACAGAGGTGAGCGGGCAGAGCATGGGATGGGGGGAGGACTGCCCCTTGAACAGAGAGCACTGGGAGAAGCATGGACAGCGGGGACTAGTCATGGGACAAGGTCCAGCCATCCAGAGGAGGGCACGTATGGCCAGACTCAGGGTGCTGTCAGGGGCTGCCTGCCTGTGGAAGGGTGCTGTTTGGAGCTACTGTGTCAGCAAGATGAGGTCCTCCAGCATCGGACTTTTTGTTCAAGCGTGGTGTGTGGGTGGCACATGGAAATGGATGGTGTGAGATGGACTCTGCTGAGGCATACGAGGCTCTTGTCGGCCTCAACGCTGGAGCTCCCAACAGCACTCCCTCGCCTCCCAGTCAGTTCTCCCTCCTGGCTGAGACAGACTCAGGGTATAAATGCAAACCCCGCCTCCTGAGGGCTACTGGAGCTCTGGGTGAGTTGGATGGCTCCACACAGGAGCCTCTGACCAGCAAACGCCTGCCCTTCAGAATGGTTCACCTGGACACTCATAAGTGGGAGGGCCAGGGTACCCTCTGCACCAACTGTCCAGTCCTGCTGGATCTCTCTAGGGCTTCTCAGCCTCCTCACCCTTCAAAGTGTACCATTCTCAGACAGCCTAGCAGTGCAGATCCTTTGCCCCAAATATGGCCTCATCTCACCACAGAGCATGGTATAAGCTGATGACCGTGGCTTTAGGGCTGCCGTAGCAGACAGGGCAGGCAGGAGCAGACAGTCCCTGCAGGGGTGGCCAAGGGCATCGCTCTTCCCTCCCTCCTTCTCAGTCCCTGGGTGAGTGCAGAAGCCAGACCAGGCCCTTTCTTTCAAAGAGTGACCTTAACAGTGAGGGGAGACACAGCACACTGCACCTCCCAGACCTCAGTTTTCTGATGACATAACCCTGGGCTGCTCCTTCAATGCTGGCCAGCCTCTCCATGCCAAACACAGGTGTGATGCAGGAAGCCCCTCCCGAAGCCCAGGGGGCTGTAGGCGTTTGCCCACCCTTGCTTGGTGCTGTAGATCTCTACCTTCAGTGGAGGTGCCAAGTGAGGGGTTCTGCAACTGCCCACCCGATCCTGCTCCATGATGCAACCTTTCCCCCTCCCCCGAAATCAGCCTGACCTTGACTCAGCTACAGGGAAAAGGGGACCCTTATACTAGGGACCCTGGCCTGTGATGCAGGGAAACCACATGGCCTAGCGGTGAGGAGGGCCAAGGAGGAGCCAGTACCAGGGCGGCAGGAGGTAGCGTCCCCTTGGGGCTGGTGACTGCAGCACTGTTTTTGGTGCTATTCGTCTGGGGCTGTGGAGAGAGGAAAAGGAGCCTTTGAAAGCTGCAAGAGAAATAGGGACCACACGCCCCTGTGCCCACGAAGCAGCCTGGGCTTCCCACTCAGTGTGCTCACCTTGACGCCATCTGCCTTCTTGTTCAGAAGACTCTTGGCTGCTGCAGGGAAGGAAAGATGCTATGTGAGCAGTGCTGGTTCTGGGTCCCACTGTCCTCGTCTGTGTCGGGCCCTCAGGGCCATGAGCAGCACCCTGCCAGGTATAGGGGCTCCTAGGACTGGCCCTGGCTTCACAGACTATGCCCACAGAAGTCTCTACTCTGGAGATGACTGGGCCCAGCAGCCTGGCATAGTCCTGGCACCCATCCAGGCTAGTAGTGTCCTCAGGGCAGCCAGCCAGGATAGTGTCCTCAGGACAGACAGCCAGGCTAGTGGCCCCAGAGCGGCCAGCCAGTCTAGTGTCCTCAGGGAGGCCAGCCAGGGTAGTGTTCTCAGGTCAGCCAGCCAGGCTAGTGTCTCCAGGTCAGCCAGCCAGGCTACTATGCCCAGGGCAGCGAGCCAGGGTGGTATCTTCAGGGCTGCCAGTAAGGCTACTCTCCCAGGAAGTCAGCCATTATCATTTCCACACCTCCATCCAGGGTATCTCAGCTCAGAGGCACCTTGCAGGTTTTGTGTTACCACTTACTGCTCTCCCTCCTCAAGCTGAACCAAACAGATTGTGCCCTTGGAAGGGGCTTGCCACCTATGAGGTCCCCAAAAAGTGCCAGGATGGATCCTTGCATGTGGCCATGCCCCAAGAGAGGTGCATGCCCTGTCACTCCTCCAGGTCCCGGCAAGTGGCCTGCATGAGGATGAGCTTTTGGAGCCATGGGTCCCATGCAGCTTCCAGAATCTTCAAGAAGCCTCAGTCTCTCTGCTCCTGAACACCCATCATGACTCTACCTGAGTCATCACTGGTTTTTTGCCTTTAAGCCCCACAGAATACTGGGCTCTGAGTGGGGTGAGTGTGAAGGACACACCCGGCAGAATGGGCTCACGGCCCATCTTAATCTCTCAACATCCTCTAAGCCCTGTCACTCCAGTTGCTGCCTGTCCATTAGGGACCCGGTCCACATGCGGTGGCATCTATGTCCTTCAGGGGTTAGCGTTCTAACTACAGAACTGCAGAAGGAAAAGAAAAAAAGGAAATCAGCTTACCTTAGAAGAAAGGAAAGATGAAGGACAAGGAGGAGGGAGTGAGAAAGGAAGAGAGAAAACAAAATTTGTGTTGGCCCCAGCCAGTAGCACCGGCACCCATGAGAAGCTGTCAGCCCATGCTTCTCATCATGATCTCAACCCGCCTGGAAGAAGAGCCACTTAGCACTGCCAGGTGATGCCCAAGCAGGGCAGCAGTCCTCGAAGCGCAGCTCGGAGTCTGCTCTGGAGCATGCCAGGGCTCATGTGGACAAGGGTGGAGACCCACAAAATCTCCAGGTGTCCCTCAGCCTGGAGCTAAGCCTGGAGAAGGCAGACAGCCTACCCACTGCCCAGCTCCTAAGCTCTGGCCAGAGCGGCACTCTAGCCAGGCTTCTGGAGTAGACCATGTGGCCACAGGCTTCGACGGGCGTATAGTTTTGGCTGTGCTGGGCCTTTTATATGGGTCCCTGCAGAGAGGCAGGCAGGCAGAAAACCACTGAGACCTGCAGAGCTTTGGGGGTCTGCACAGAGCACACCAGCAATGCTAGGAGATGCTGGAGAAATGCAGGCCCTCAGCTGCTGGCCTCTAAGCCTGTACTTGCTTAGCTGCAGTTGCAGTTGACACTGATGGAATCCATTTCAGAGGACACTTGACCCAGTGACCAACCCTGGACTGAATACCTATTGGTACTGGCCTAGCTGGTAGCAGGCTAGCTTCTTAAAGGTGGCCCCTGAGCTTGGCGTGGGGACAGGAGGCTCACCTGCAGGCAGCACACCCCTAAGACGACAGTGCCCCAGGCTGGCCTATCCTAGTTTCCTGCTCCGTTCACTGACCTGTTAATTGTCTCAGAGTTTCACCTCAAACCCCAGGAGATCCCTGCATGATCTTTTCCAGGAATTAGCTGGGAATTGATCCCACTACCCCATTCTGAGGACAAGCAAGACTACCCAGCCCATGTCTCAGCCCATGCAGGCCCCACTGCAGGCCTGCAGCTCAGTATAGGACTACTCCCCACAGGCTGGTTTGGGAGCATACCCTCCACCACTGCAGTCTGGGCAGCAGGTGCCAGGCACCAGGGATGCCCTTCCCTGGGGTTGTACCACACTTCAATGGTGCTGCCCATCAGAGGCATCACCCTCCTCACATTTACAGCCTAGGGCTCACTCACACACCCCTGAGCTCCACTGGTCCTGGGAAGCCAGACAGAATGAGTCCACTCACCCTCCCTGTGCCAGGCCAGAACACAGGGCAGCCCTGCCCTCCAGCATGCACCTCTGAGACCTGGACTGCCTGGAACCTTGGCTGCCTGAGACCCTGGCTCCTCTTTCCCATTTTTAGCACACGCAGATCACTCAGGTCCCCACACGTGGAAAAGGTCTTTTCGCCATCCCTCTGACCGTTGACACCTCAGAGCCATTTATTTACCCAGTGGGTGAGCCTGGACTGTGCCCAGTGTGGCCCTAAAGTGAGTGGAAGGAGAATGCCCCGGCCCCCTGTCATGCTGGTGCATGGCTGAGAGGACTGGGAATGGGCTCTTTCCTTTGTCACTGAAGGAAGAGATGCCTAGGAAAAGGTACATCAGCGGACAAGTGGGCAGACCCTCCGCTGGGGACACAAGTCATAATGTCATGGTCTCTTTAAGACAGGTCACTGTGGAGGCCTCTGTGAGCAGAGCCACAGCTGTCCTGGTCACATCTCACCCTTCTGTGGCATCCCAAAGACACTGCCTGGTGGCCTGGCCAGCAAGTGTGCTGCTGAGCTCCAGTCAAGCACCCACAGGCTGTCATTATTCTCTCTCCACAAGATCAATGGTCTTTCTGTATAGTTGTCTCTCTTCTTAAAAAAAATCCCATTTACATCTGATTCTAGAAGAGTCTTCATTTTCAAACTGTGCTGTTCAAGGTATCACCAGTAACCAAAGGGACCAAGGGCCTCCATGGTCACAGAGGTCCTACTCTGGGTCAGGCCTTCCCTGAGTCCAGCATGGACACCACTGGTGCCACAGCTGATAATAAGAACATCTGCAAAATGTCAGTCAGTCCCAGACAGGTTGCACTACAGCAGTAACTCTAACACATTCTGTGGTTAGCGGTCATTCCTCACGTGGGATCCTTAGCTCCTGGCTCCTGTTAGGAGTACTTTATAGAGCTATTAATTTCCTAGAAATCCCTGTCTGGAGTTCTGGTGTGTCCTTTGCAGCAAGGTGATGCACTATTAGCTCCAAGGCCAAGTATCTCTGGTGGTTCGAATCTACCAGCTGCTCTATGGGAGAAAGAAACAGTCCTCAGAAATTCATTGAAGGGTGGGAACAGCAGTGACATGAGATCCTGCCCTAGCCCAGATTCTTGGGGCCCAGACATAGCCAGGTGGTTGGCTTTCAGCTCCAGCTCACCTACAGTGGTGGTCACAAGATGCTTTTTGTGCTTTCTCCAGCTAAAGTCCTGTTACCTGCAGTAGGAGCCCAAGATGGATAAAGGAGTCTCAGACTCCAAGGTGGGGGCTCCCTGGCCACTAGGAGGGGCTTTCACAGCACCCCTGCAAGGTCCCTCTCTTCAGTCCTGACTCTCCTGCTGCTGGAAGTGCCCTTCCACGCCAGCCGCTCTGAAGATCAAGGAGGGTCTAGTGACACACTGCTTTCAACTGCAACAAGCTCTACAAGGTCAAGGGGCCAATTTCAGGGACTGAGTCCTCCAGCCTGCTCTGCCCACAGCCCATCAGTGCTGGTGCTGCCACTGAGGGGCCTTCCCTACCATTTGATGTCCACCTCATGGGCCCATGCCTTGCCCCGGCAGCCATGCAGGCACCCACCCCATGAGCAGCCCCGGACAGAACAACCTGGGTATGTTGGTGCCTGGCACATGCATGACCTCATGCACAGGCCCCTGCAGAAAAGTGGCTCCCAGACAACAAGGCCCCAGGCTCTGAAAGCAGCCTCTGCCCTCTGCCCCAAAGGAGGTGCAGCTGCCTCTGGATGCCTCTGCTAGGCATCTTTATCAAGGATGGGGATGCCCTCAGGAAGTACCCTGGAGTAGCTCTGAGGCTCTAGAAGGCAGTGAGGTGGGAGTCAGGGCGGACATGCCCTACCCTCATTGGGCTACAGCAGAAACTGTGGGAGACCACCTAACAACAAAACCTGGGCTGCACTGGAGTCAGAACTGGGACGTTCCGTGGCCACATACACAGTGACATATACATGATGTCAGAGATGGCAGGGTCTTGACCAGGCAGGTGCTGGGCTTCTGGTCCAAATCATTCCCGAAGGAGCAGACTGGCAGGGGACCAGAGGGTGGGATTGGAGGTGAGGCAAGGGGGGGGGTCTCATAGGAAGAATCCTAATGAGGAGGGAGCCCAAGTGTCTGGGCTCTGGGCCTGTCCAGGTCAGACACGCATATGGAGGACACAGTGGCCCTAGATCACGCTCCTGCCTGCACACCCCCCGACCACACAGCCCTGTGGAGGCAGACAGAGGGGCCGAGGTCAGAATCAGGGTAGCCTCGGGTCCTGGGGATGGGGATGGAGGGTAGGGCCGTGGGTAGGGGGATGGCCACGGACAGAGGGCCTTGGATGGCTCTTACAGAGGAGGGTCTTCTTTCCTGTACTTTCCTGGGGTGGGGATAGGGACTTCCTACTCAGGGTTTTGACAAGCCCACCACATCAGCCCCAATCTCTCCTTTCCTGCAGGGCCAGAGTGTTCTGAATGAATGCACAAAAGGCTTCACAGGGCAAAGGTTCTGTGAAGAGTTCTCCTGATCTCCAAGTCTCATGACCAAGCCTCAAAAAGTGTCCTCTCAGACTATTTCAGCCAAGTGCATGTGGGGACACTGTGCAGCCCACAGAGGACCTGAGAGGAGGAGTTCTGGGCGTGTGCAGCCACATTTGTGTGTGGTCAGGGTCGCATGCTGAGATCTGGCAGGGTCAAGGGCGCTTGTCAAGACACATCTACCTTGCTCCACCAGCCCCATGGTGGCACCGGAGGCCGCGGTGGACATTGTGGCAGGAGCGGTGGTCTGTCTGCCCACTGTGTGCGCCGGGTTAGAGACAGCGGAAGGGAGTAGTGACGGAGGGCGAGGGGACACAGACGGGGCAGGCAAGATACGAAGAAAAGAGAGACAAAGGAAGCAGAAGAAAATTAGAGTCAAAGTTTACATAAGAGATGAGATTTGGTCCCAGAATCCCTTTCAAAAAGGAAAGTGAACACAAGATCCAAACAGATTAGCACCTGAAAAGCATTTGCCTCCTTTCTCCAAAGAAAGCCCCATGGGGCTTCTGGGTAAATAGGGCCTGTGGGATGGGGGTGGAGGTGAGAGAGACAGGAAAATGGGTGTGGCTCTCGGCCCCCACATTCACGAAGGACATGTCCAGTTAGTGTTGGTGTGATGGTGCCAGTCTATCCCCAGAAGCACTCTCACAGCAAAAGTAACAGGACAGGGAGGGGAACTGAGGGGGTAGGGGACACACAGACAAAGAACCGAGCTAAAGCACGGATAGACCCACAGAGACGCAAGGACAGAACCTGACCCACACCCAGCAGGACTCCACTTCCCAACCCTGCCCACACCCGGTCAAGCTGATGCCTGCCAGTCGTCCAAATCCTTCTCCTGCTTACCCTCCAGCTCACTGCCCACATCCCAGACACAAAACAGATGCCTAGAGGGCTCAGAACAGAACAGAGTTGCCGGACCAGGGCCTGCAGACACGCGGAGGGTACAGAAGATGTCTAGAGACAGATACAGAGACCAAGCATGATGGCAGATGTGAGGGTGACTGGGACTCTGGGCACTGGTCACAGAGGGAGCCAGCCGGAGTGCCCAGGCTCCTCTGCAGCCCATGTGCCCCAGGGGGCCGGGGGCAAGGGTTTGGTGTGAGCAGGGAAGAGAGTCTGTTGGTGTCACATGGAGAGGCCTGTGTTATGGCTCAGCTGCTCAGTGAGGACCTGAGTGACAAGTAGGCAGCCCCCTTCCTCCTGAAGGTAGATTGCTCTCACCTGAAAAGTTCCGTGTAGCCAGCATGGTGGTAAGGATGGCTCCCTGAGGAAAGAAGCACACAGGTAAAGGCGAGGTCCCACCCTGACCTGTCCAGAAGCTTGGAGGCCAGACCGGAGCATAACCTTCTAGAGAAGCAAATGTTTGGACAACTGGGCCGCAAACTGGCCTCATTTTCAGATAATTGACTACTGTCCCACTGCCCCTCCAAAGCTGGCTGCCCCTCCACAGTCTCTAGATCAAATAAATAACTAGAGAGCCCTGAGACACTTGCAGTATTCACCTGAGGGGTGACCTAGGAGGGGGCCCACCTGCAGTCAAAGCTGACTGTGAAGGAGCAGAGTCTGCTGTAGGGAGAGGCCAGAAGGCTGTCAGTCTGTGGGAGTCATCCCAGAACAGCCCTTTACTGGGACCAGCAAGGCAGCTGAAGGGAGGAAACAATGTGCTCTGAGGGCCTGGGTTCTCCATGAGTCTTCCTCTTCCTTTACCTACCATACCCCTAGACCTTCTTCCCATCTTCCTCATCAAAACTCATTGAGGTCTGAAGCTTCTGGACTTAAAGACTAGAGATTATCTCACCTCAACAACTCCTCCCCCAGCTATGCCCTGGGAACTCAGGAGCCTGGATAGACGCAGAGGAGAAAGAGAGCTGGAGATGAAAAGGGCCTAGGAGCTGAAACCACACAGGGCCCAGGACAGCAGAGTGCCACTTCCCACAGTGTCCCTGAGGCCCACAGGCTCCATGTGCCTGAAGCCATGGAAATAAACAGCCTGTCTCTGGGGTCTGCTGTGGTAGCCCTACACTGCAGGGACCCCAGTGTCTTTCACACTCATCCTTTATCTGCAGGGTCCCCGGGCTTGGTGCACAGCAGAGCAGGGGCTCCCACCTTAAGCTTTCTTCTTGCGTTGAACTTCTTTAGACATTCCACCGTCTCCTGTCTGTGCATCATGGAGGCAACCGTGGAGCGTTGCTGTAGGAAGGGGGATGTCACACAGTTACAGAGCTCTCAGTGACCAATTTTGTCCCCAAGGATACACAGCAGGCAGTTAGGGGCTTAGGGCAGCAGGTCTTAGGATAGAGCCCTGAGTGCCACCTCATTCTGAGTCCTGGCTCCCTGTTGTGAGTTCCTTTCCCATCCCACCCAGGTCCCCCATCCCTGTACTCCCTCCCTGGCCTCCATCCTTCTGCCCCTTTCTCCTGTCCCTGACCTCATCCCTGTACCCCCTCATCCCTGACCCTATCCATTTGGCTCATTCCCTTACCCATATTCCCACTTCGGCCTTTCTCATTCCTGGTCCCTCTGCCCTCCCCCAAGGTCATATCAGCACAAACCATCCTTACAACTGCTGTTCCCTAGGAGGGCCAGAGTCAGGCTCTCACTTCACATGCCCTCTCAGAGCTGAAACTCCACAGAGATACCTACTGTACACCACAAAGGCCAAAGACAGGACCAGAGTCCCCAGGGGGTACTGGAGAGGGACAAGACTGCCTAGGAGAGGTCCTCTCCGAAGTCTCAGGCAAGCCTTCCAGCACCTGCCAGCCCTGAGCCCAGGTGGCACCTGGCACTTACGCAAACCCACGGGTGCTTCAGTGCCTCATGAGCTGTAATGCGCTTTGCAGGGTTGATGGTAAGCATCTGATTGATGAGGTTTTTTGCTTCAGGAGTAACAGTGTCCCACTCAGGGGATGGAAACTGGAGAAGAAAAGACATGGGAGCAGTTGAAGTCCCTCACCGGGACAGGGCCCAGAACTCTTCAGAGGATTTCAACCCAGCAAAAAATTAGGAGAATAGCCGCAGGTACCTCCTCCAGGTTGGTTCTTCCACACACATGTGCATACGCTCACACACACATGTCCAAACATGTGCTCACGTCCACAGTTGGGCCTTTCACATTTCCTGACAGCTTTTGAGGGACAGCAGTACTCACATCATATGCTCCAGCCTTGATCTGCTGGTACAGTTTATGCTGATCCTCGTCCCAGAATGGTGGGTAGCCCACAAGCAGGATATAGAGGATCACCCCTGGGGAGAGTAGCTGTGAGCAGTGGCAAGTGCCCCCAAATGGCCACTCCCTAGCCACACATGTCCCTTGAGTATGTCTACAGCCCAGGCTAGACAGTCCTGCTGGGGTTCTATGGACAAAGGAACAGTGCCCAGCCCTGGCTTGTCCAGGCATGTGATGGGGAGGGCTGCTGAAAGGACAGAGTCAGGCCTTGGCTTGCCTCCCACAGTATGCCCTCCACAAATTTCCTGGGATCCTTATGCCTCCTGCATCTTTCACTGGTGATGTGAGGTGTCAGCTAACATCACCATGTGAGAATAGCCCCAAGCAGTCCAGACTGGCACAGAGAGCTCTCAAAGGCCTCACAACCAGAATATTAGGAACCACCTTGCTTCAGAGGTGTGGTCCATGCTGCCCTGCCTGGGTCTGCTGGACCCACCCCTTCCCCAGCTGTCCAGACACTGTTAGCTTTGGTGCACACTTATCTGAACAATGGGAAGAGCTTGCGATATCTGACTGGGACAAGAGAGCCAGTCAATCCTGAGTGGCTCCAGCTACCGAAACTGCACGTGCCCAAGCCTCACCACACGCCCAGATATCCACGGGCTTGCCATAGGCCTCCTTGCGTAGGACTTCTGGGGACAAGTATCCTGGAGTGCCAGCGAACCCTAGTGAGGAGAGAGGGCCAGTAAGAAGAGGCTGAGCTGTCCCCTGCCCTGGCTTGCTGGCCCAGCACTTACCAAACCATGCCTGCTGGTCTCCCTGGACCTCGATGGCCAGGCCAAAGTCCGCCAGCTTCACTGCTGCACCTTTGCATTTGCTGGCCAGGAGCAGGTTCTCAGGCTGCAGGGACCATCAGGGCAAAGAGCACGTTCACCACAGAGCAACTCATGAATGGGGACATACCAGAAGCAGAGCAGTCTACAAGAGAGATGCTTTGATCTGCCACATGCTGTCCTTAGTCTTAGGAGGCCCTCACTACTGTCTGTCCCTCCCCCAAGCAACAGGGAGTCTACTTCAGGTTATTTCCCCTCACTCAGGCCACAACGGAGAGAAAGAATGTGGTCAAAGTCAGGGAGCAGAAGGTGGGGGCACTCTATTTGTCTTGGGCCCCTCCAGCAAAGCTGCCACTCAGATGTGGGAGAGACACATGTGTTTGCTTAGCCACTCCTACTGACCAGAGCCCCTCAAAGGGCAGCAGCATGAAGACCAAACAGAAGGCCCTCAACACCAGCAATGCTAAAAGTCTATCTGCGCCTGCCCTCTGCCCATGATGACCTCACTGGGCATCAAGCCCCAGCAAGCTGCTGACCCACCACATCTAATAGGAAGAGGGTTCCTGCTTGAACTTCCTGGACAGACTGACACCCCAACAGCCAACATCCCTCTAAGAGACTCTCCAGGCACACCCTCTCCTGGGTGGCAGAGCCCTTGCTAAGTGGAAAGGAAGTGTCTTCTTCCACCCTATGGGAACAACCAAGAAGGCTGCTATCCTGTGACCAAAAAACCTTGTCCTGAGGCCGTGAGGGCCTGAGTAGCTGTGTTCCCAGCACTGTTCACTCCAACCTAAGCTCTCACCTGGTGTGGCCTGCTTTTTGGGTAGGACTGTGACTCCTAACAGTAAGCCCCACCCAGGTGCCCACTCAGGTGCCCAGCCCAGACATCTCAGGGAGCATTCTCAGGATTTATGTTTCTGTCCATGCCAGCCTGTCTGGAGCCCCAGCGTGCCTCTGTGAGCATGGCCTCCTGGTCAAAACCACAGTTGCTTTTCACTGTGTTTCCACTAAGACAAAAGCCTCCCCATTTTAAACTGCTTTTGAAACAGTGACTGTAAGATCCATCTCAATTTTGGAAATCTTAAAATGTGAATGACTGAAACCAAAACCTAACCCATACCAGAGTCAGTTCTGACTTAGAATGGATGAAGAATGCAACTCCTCATGGAAAGCCCTGTGTTCCCATCCTGGGTTTGGGAGTGGGGTTTCTAGGCCTCCAGGTCTCCAACAGCATGGCCAAGCCTGTGATCTGTGAGTGCAAGTCTGCTTCCAGAGCAAGTTAAAGGTAAATTTCCCATCCCAGCCCCCCTCCGCAGTCTCTTCCCCATGCCCTGTTCTCCCATTTCCCAAGGGGACATATGCCTGGGTTACTTGTCTTTGTCCTGCAGGGTTTAGCATGACAGGGACCCTCAGATCTTGGGGTCATGAGCATCTTAACATGGCAATATGAATGGGCAGGGTACCAACCCTCCCATGGACCCTACACAAAGACCTCACCCTTGCCAAGCTCACAGAAGCTTTGTTCTGAAAATGAGTCGTCACCAGAGTCCTCCGGAGGTGAACCAGATGGTCCAATTATGTGTGCCTTCTCCCAAAGGCACAAAACAGAATTTGTTCCCCTGGTGCCTGAGAAAGAAGTCTTGCTAGCATTGTAGTTAAGGTATTTGGGTACTACTACAAGATCAGTGGTTTGAACTTTCTGGATGCTCCATAAGAGAGAGACATTTCAGTCTGCTTGTATGAACAGTAAGAGCCTCAGAAATCCTATGGGGTATTTATACTCTGTTGTAGAAGGTCATTATGAGTCAGAATCACCTCAACAGAACTGAGCTTGGATTTTTTAGGGTTTAGTAACTGAGCAGAGTCAGTTGTGAGTGGAGGACAGTAGGCTTATATAGTTTATGACACCCAGGCAGGGGCCACCCAAGCAGTTTGGACCAGCAAGCCTAACCCTGGAGAATGGGTGGTCCCATAAACTGTAGCCCATGATAGGGATTTGCCTTTATAGTGGAATCCTCATGTGACATGCTCTGAGGTCTGGTGGTACTTCCTGCTTCCTACATACTCCTCATTAGGTTCAGATGACACGCCACAAAACTATGACCAACCTATATAATTCAGATGGTGAATGAAAGGTCATCATCTCCCTTACCCTCAAAGACCACTGCTGTCTCCTCACCACCTCCCTCAACTCTTTCTTGTCAGAGGATTCTGCCTGCTTTCAGATCATACCTGGGGTAGGAAAGGGAGCACTCACTTTGTGGCTTGGCCTCAAAGCTCACTTTGTGGTTTGGCCTCAAAGTTACCTGGATAAATAATACAGTCCACAGATAGTGAAGGACAGGCTATTATTGTAGCCTGGTGCTATTATAGCTGCTATTGTAGATAATTAAGCCACCAAGGAGAGCCACCAAGTCCAGTCCCAGACATGCTCCCTCAAGAAGAATAGAGGTGTTATTGTCTACATACCTGGTCTCTCTTCAGAGAACCAAGTGAGACACTAAAACAGGACAGAGGAGATTACAAGGAAGATGGGCACACAGGACAGGCAGACAAGAGGCAGTGCCAAGGCAGAAGCATGTGAAAGGCTGGTAGTCCCTTTAAAGGAGCATGGACAATGCTTTGACTATCCTTCAGAGAGGACTGTAACTATCTCCACAGAGATTCCATGAGAGTCAGCCTAGGTCCCATCACCATCCCAAAGAAGGGTATGTCCCACCACATTGCCACCCTCAAGAAATAAAACTGTCTTTAAAACCAAGTATCGGAGAAAGCTCCAGCGGAAGGAGAGAAGCAGAGAAGGAAGGAAAGAGGAGAGGGGTAAAAAAAGGGAAAGAGGAAGGAAAGGAGGAGGGAGAGCAGAAAGTGAGAAGAGATGAGGAAGTATGGATGGAGAGGAGGAAGCAAGGAGGGCGGAGGAAGTGTGGAGGGAGAGGGAATGGAGGAAGCAAGGAGAGAAAGAAGAAAACAAAAATGGAAGAGGGAGAGGAGAAAACAAAGAGAGAGTGAAGGAAATGAGGAGAGCAAGGAGGAAGTGAGGAGGGAGGTGAGAAAGGAGGAAGGGAGAAGCACAGAGGGAAATGAAGAAGTAAGGAGGGAGGCAGGTGAGTAGGAAGTGAGGAGGAAGAAGGAGAAGAGGAAGTGAAGACTAGGAGTGATGAGAGAAGAATCAAGGAGGAAGGAGAGACAGGAGGAAGCGAGGGGAAGAAAAAAGAAAGGAGGAAATGAAGAGGAAGGAAGGAGAAGAGGAAGCAAGGAAGAAGGAGAGTCAGGAGAACATGAGGAGGGAGAAGGGAGAGGTAGACATGAGGAAGGAAGAGGAAGTGGAGGAGTAGAGGAGGAAAGAAGTGGAGGAGGGCAAGAGGGAGGTAGTTTAGGAGGAAGCAAGGAGTGAAAAGGAGAAAAAGTGAGGATGGAGGAGTGAGGAGAGGAAGTGAGAAGGGAGAAGAATCAAGGCAGTAGAGGGAGAAGAGGGAATGAAGAGGGATGAGGGATGGGGAAAGTGAAGGGGGGAAGAGATAGAAGGAAGCAAGGAGAGGTGGAAAGAGGGAGGAGGGAGAGTGGGGATGAGGATGGACAGGAAGAGGCGAGGAAGGAGGATGGAGAAGAGGAAGCAAGAAGTAATGTAGGAGAGAAGGAAGTGAATAGAGAGAAATCAGGAGGGAGCATCAAGAGCAGGAAGCAAGGAAGGAGAGGGAAAAAGAAAAGCAAGGAGGGAGAAGGAGAGGAGGAAGTAAGGAGGGAGAAGGAGAGGAGGAAGTAAGGAGGAAAAATGGAGAGGGAGCAAAGGAAAGGAGGAGGGAGAGGCAGAAGCAAGAAGGGAGGAGGGAAAGGAGGAAGTAAGAAAGGAGAAGGGAGAGATGAAGTGAGAAGGCAGAGGGATATAAAGAAGTGAGGGAGAAGGGAGGAGAAGGAAGAGGTGAAAGCAAGGAGGGAGGAAGAAGAGGAAAATGTGAGGAAAGTAGAGGGAGAAGAGAAATTGAGGAGGGAGAGGAGAAAGGAAGGAGTGAGAGAAGGAAGTGAGAAGGGAGGAGGGAGAGAAGGAAGGGAGGAAGGAGAGTCAGAAGTGAGGAGGGAGGAGAAAGGAGGGAGGAGAGAAAAATGTGAGGAAGGAGGTGGTAGAAAACAAATTGAGGAGGAAGAGGAGGAAGTGAGGAGGGAGAGGAGAAAGGGAGGAGTAAGAAAGGAGGAGGGAGAGGAGGGGTGAGGAGGGAGGAGGGAGTGAGGAGGAAGGAGAATTGTGGGCGAGGAGGGAGGAGCGAGAGGAGGAAGGGAGAAAGAGAAGGAAGTGAGGAGGGAGAAGAGAAAGGGATGACGGAAAGGAGGGGTGAGGAAGGAAGAGAGGAGGGAGGAAAAAGTGAGGAGAGAGGAGAGAGCAAGGAGGAGAAGAGTAGGGAGTGAGGTGGGAGGAGGGATAGGAAAAAGGGTGGAGGGAAGAGGGAGAAAGGTGGGAAGCAGAATAACTGAGGAAGGAGGAGGGAGTGCCATTGTTCTCACATTGTATTCCTGGTGGTGAGACAGCCTTTGTGGGCAGAGCCTGAGGCTGCTGTGCCCAGAGAGAGCTGCAGCATGAGCAATGGAAGCTGAGAAAAGGCTGGAATAGGTTGTATCTCAGTGTGCATCAACTGGCCAGGGCCTTGCTGCGCACTCCTGCAGGGGCTATGTCCCATAGGAGTGTGAACACCCATCAGGAATTCTGAGACCTAGGTGACATATGCACACGTGATGTGCCATGGGGCATGCTGCTGAAACAAGAACTTGCCTGCCAGAGCTTACACTGACATGCAGATAACAGAACAGACATCAGGGGCAGTAGGACACTCACCTTGAGGTCTCTGTGGACAACCCCCATTTGGTGGCAATGGAGAACCGCTTCCAGGATCTGCTGGATGCAGTGACTGTAAACACCAGAGCCAGTTAGTTCCATGTGCAGATGGCAGTGAGGAGGGTGGACATTATGGGATGGGGGGTGGGGTGGGTTGGGTAGGAGCAGCAAGAGGGCAGTTCGGGTGGGAGGAGGATGGAAAGTGGTGGACCAGAGGTCTTTTGTCTGCCTGAGAGTTTCTAAGACTCAAGCAAGAAGGTCCTGATAAGACACAGATCCACACCTTTTTCCTCTAGTACTTGGTGGCCAAGCCAGGGATCCACACCCTTCCCTGTAGCCCCATAGCTGACTGAGGAGGCACAGAAGGGCCAGGGAGGGACTGCAAAGAGAAAACTTATCCTGTTCCTAGAGCTCCTGCTCAGGCCTGAGGTTGACATCAGAGAGGAAGCCCAGAGGGAGCAGGTGGAGGAGGAGTAACAGGAGGAGGAGGAGGAAGGAGGCAGGAAAATCAGGCAGGGGAAGGGGGACAGAGATAGAAGCAGGCGTGTGGAGCTGGGTTAGGGTGAGGGTGCTACACCCTTAGCCTACTGCATCAGAGCTGCAGGCCTCAGTCACATGTCTGCACGTGGTACCATGAGTACTAAAGCTTTCATGTGCATGGGGTCTCAGCAGATCTTGGGGACAGAACTGATACAACAGCCAATGTGGTACCCTTGGCACTCCTGAGACTGGCAGCACTTGCTGGGGTCCTGGGCAAGGACCTTCCCTTCCAGGTCTTTCTTATATTGCCAGGAAATGGAAGACGTTAGAGGACTCTTCTGGAATATAACTGTCTACAGGATGAGGCCAGTTGTTCAGGGTCACCTGTAGGCCACCTTGACAAACCCTTCAGCATTCTCTCTTGTTGCACCTTTTGAACCAGATCCAGAGTCTACTCAACTCCACCAGACTTGGCCAAAGTTTGCCCTCCTGCCCACCCACAGCATCCTCACTGTGCTCTCATCTCAGGCCCGGCTCTGTCAGGATCCCACCACCCAGGACAGCCTTGGTCAGCAGGGTGACAATGACACCCAAGCTCAATCTCTGCTGACAGGTGTGGCAGGTCCCCATTCATGAAAACACTGGGTTCTGAGACATAAGCAGCCCCCGGGAAGGGGGGGGGGGTCCCTCCTACCAACTGTAACCAGAGGAATTGCTGGGTCATACTCACCAGTCCATGGGGAACACCTTAATAGGCCCTGCCTCATGGGTCACATCTGGGAGAAGGTGGTTGTCTGCATTAGAAACCAAGTCTATGTTTCCTTGAAAAAGCCCACACATGAGAATTTCACTGGGAGGATGAATTCCCAAGGTATGTGGGATTAGAAGTAACTGGTCCAAAGTCCTGAAGATGCCAGCCGATGCCTGTGCAGGAGCTTTGCGGCCTGCACACACTGTTCCACACCCTTCTGTCTCCCACTGCCAGGTAAATCCTCTTGTTCCCTCCCTGCAACCTGGCCCCTCAATAGGGGATGGGTCCCTGTCCCTGTGCTCATGGCCATCAGAGCCAGGAGTAACACCCATATCCACTGTCTTGACACACTGTCAAGTGTGTCTTCATGCTCTCTACAGGAGGCTTGTAGCTCAGAGTAGGCAGGCCCTGTCTATAGTGGTCACCCTTGATGAGGGGCAGTCTGGGAAGTCCCAACCAGCAAGCTGTCCCATGCCAGCACAGTTTAGTGATTTGCACACACAACTCTACAGTCCATGTGGCCCTGGATCTGGTCCCTCCTCTATGTTTTACATGCCTTAGAGGACCCAGGCACAGGGTCACTGTGCACTGAGGACCCCTCAAAGTCAGGACCTCCTCCCACTACCCTTGTGCTCCTGTCTGTATGCCCCACCCTGGCAGAGGGAGGGGTGGCTCTTTGGGGATTGTTCCTGCTCCCTTTTCACCTTTGGTCAACATTGTGTCACCCAGCACTCTCACTGGGCCTTCAGTCACCCCTAAACAGCATGTCACCTTTGTGGTCAGAGCTGTTTCCATGTCTGGACACCCATCAGTCTTGTCTGGTCCTGCTCTACACAGGACATCCTCTCAGTGGGCACTGAGTATGTACAGCCAAAGGTAATTTTCCAGATTCCCTCAGCAGCTCTCATCAGCCATGTTCCTTTACAGAGTGAGTTTTAGTGAATTCTAAATTTGCTTACTTTATTCTGAAAAAGGACACATATTGCCCTTCATTTCCTTGTTGTTCTTGTTATGTGCCGTGGAGTCGTTTCCGACTCATAGCGACCCTATGCACAACAGCCCTAAACCCTACTCTATCCTGCACCAACCGCACTGCCTCTGACACACCCATCCCGATTACCCCAGTCACCGAGTCAATCCATCTCATACAGGGTCTTCCCCTCCTGCGCCGTCCCTCCACCCTCCCAAGCATGACGTACCTCTCCAAGGACCCGTCCCTCCTGGCAACATGTCCAAAGTATGTCAGACGAAGCCCCAGAATCCTTGCCTCCAAGGAGTAGCTTGGTTTAATCCTCTCCAAGATGAATCTGTTTGTTTTCCTGGCAGTCCATGGTACATTCAGTACTCTTCTCCAGCACCACAGCTCAAAAGCATCCACTCTCCTTCTGTCCTCCCTAGTCATTGTCCAACTCTCTGATGCATAACAAGCGATTGCAAAGACCATGGCCTGTATCAGGCGCACCTTAGTCTCCAGAGAGACACCGTTGCTCCTGAGTACTTTAGAGAGGTCCCTAACAGCAGACTTTCCCATCGTGATACGCTTTTTTATTTCCTGACTGCTGGTGCCAAGAGTGTTGACTGTGGAGCCGAGCAAACTGAAGCTGTGAACAATCTCAATCTCTTCGTCATCCATCCTGACGCTGCCAATTGGTCCAGTGTTGAGAATCTTTGTCTTCTTGACATTGAGCCTCAGTCCATACTGAAGGCTGCAGTCCTTGACCCTTGGCAGCAAGTGCATGAGGTCCTCCTCAGTTTCAGCAAGCAGGGTTGTGTCATCTGCATAACGGAGATTGTTAATAGATCTTCCACCAATCCTGATGCCACAATTCTCCTCATAGAGCCCAGCCTCTTGGATAATCTGCTCTGCATACATGTTGAAAAGGTATGGAGACAGGATGCATCCCTGGCGCACAGCCTTCCCAATTTTGAACCATGCAGTGTTACCCTGCTCTGTTCTGACTACTGCCTCTTGGTCCAAGTATAGGTTTCGCATTAGCACAATTAAATGTTCTGGGATTCCCATTCTTCTCAGAGTCAGCCACAGTTTGTTATGATCCACACAGTCAAATGCCTTCATTTCCTTACACACCATAAAAGTCCTACCTCTTCCACAAGGACTCTCCAATCCTGCTGGTACCTTTCCTTGTCTCTTTTCCCTCCTGAGCCAGGATATACTAGAACCCCCTCAGAGACTCAATGTTTAGTGTAGGAGGCCTTGGTCAGGTGTCTGACAAGTGGCCCACAAAGTCAGATACCCTGGCATGGCTCAGGACCTTGGCCATACCCCCATGCCAGATTGCTGCTCCCTGTGGCTCCCATCTCAGCATGGACATCCTCATATTCTGTGGGAGCTGGTCCAGCTCAGCCCATTCCACTCGCCCTCAGGAACTCTGCTTTCTGCCTTCACCACATTCCTGTCTCCAGTTCTACCCCTTTACATCTGGTAGCACCAGCCTGTCAGGCCTGACTACTAAGGCAGGACATGCATATAGATGAAAGCTGACAGCCTAAAAGAAAGAGGAAGACTGGGTACCAGACACACAAACAAACAAGGAAGTTACTCACACTGGTCACATCAATTTGCCAACCTGCTCCCACCAACTGCCTCACAATTGCCTACAGAGTAGAAGCCAGTTTGCCTGCATCCCCATTTGGCTACTAACCACTTTCTATTTGGGCACCAAGCCCCTAAAAGAGGCAGAATCACTTCTAAGAAAGAATTAAGGGCTTGTGAATGGCATAAGCTAGCTGGGTCCAGCTCCAAGTCTCATCTCTTCTGGACAAGTTCCAAAGGTCAAGATGAGCCCAGCAACTGGGTAGGAAAGCATGCCAGACCCCCATAAAGGTAGAGCATAGTAGAAATCCAGTCTCTGTACTGCCACCTCCCCTCCCAGCACTTGGCATCATCCTGAAACCCAACAGCCAGAGGACTCTTAGAGGCTCACAGAAAATCTAGTGTGTCCTCTCCCTGGCCACCCCCTAGCCTTGAGCAGCTTTTAGCACCATCTGTGCCTCAAGCCACACTGCCAGTCCTGCCTATGTGGTAGCAAAGGTGGTGGTGGTGGGGCAAAGTGTGCTGTTATCTCAAGGAAAAGGGTGAGAAAACTGGCCTTTCAGAGTCAAGTTATACTTTCTATTACCTGATGGGGACAGGAATGAAAAGTAGAGCTGAGTGGAAGGTGGGGTGGGGTAGGTTAGGCATGTTGCCAAGAGAGGGGTCTTCAGGGAAGAAGGAATGGCAGAAGGGGTAATAAATGTGGAGAAAAGATTGAGAACAACAACAGATGAGTACGTCAGGCCCACAGATGTTAAGAAGGCCTGGATGGTCAAGACTGGACATGAGGAGACCAGAGAGTAGGGTGAGAGCAGGGGATGGGCAAAGATTGCAGGTCTTTTCTCTAAAGGGTCTCAAGGGTGTGGCTCAGCCACAGGCTGGAATGCAAGACAGAGAGAGACAGGGAAGACCAGGAGCACTCCTAGAGAGTCTGTGGGCAGCATATTGCAGAGCATCTTCTTGCTCCAGTAGTCAGCCCGGAATGTGGGAACTGGAGTCTAGTCTGAGAAAGGGGGAGACTTGAGGTAAACAGTTTTTTGCCTCACCAAGATGCTCAGATCCCTGTGTTTACCCTGAGCTTACTTGCCCCTATAGATGTGAAGGAAGGTTCAGGAAGCCCGGATCATGCCCTTGGCCTGAGCCATATCCTCATGCCCTTGCTCGTGGAGCTAGCTACAGGGCAGTCAGCCAGCCCATGTGCAGGGCCAAGTCATGGCCAAGATGGTTTCAGGAAGGAGATACTCACATGAAGCTATTTTGGTTATTTTTCTTGTGTGGAGGGCTGACT